AGCCCCCCCTCAAAAACAAAAATCTGTATCTTACATTCCTATGTATGTGGTTCTGTAAAATGAGCAGTGTAGTATAAGCAGTAAGTAGACACTTGGCCATGCCTTAGTCATCTTCCTGATCCTTGTAGGTAAGCTCTGTCCCCGTGTATAAAGGAGTGGAAATACATTTATAAGAAATGGCGGTTGGAGTATACCTTAGTGGTAGAGCACATGCTTAACATATTCAAGATACCGTGTTCAATCTCCAATACCAAAAAAAAAAAAAAAAAAAGATAAAGCCTGTGGTGAAGAGCCCAAAGTCTTTAACATAGAACTTGGCAAACCTAGGATTTAGCTATGGACTTGCTCCTGTCTCCGTATGTTATCTGAGTCATCTAACCTCTCATAGCCTTCACTTGCTCCTTTAGAAATGAAGTATGGTTCGACTACATCAGTGAATCTCCAGAGTTACTTTGGTGTACCTTATCTCTGAAACACTAAGAAAGGGAAGGTTATAAATCTCTGGACTTGGCAAGCGCTGAGCCTACCAAACGAAAATTAGTTATTCTATAAAGAATAACAAATTTATTTGGATGAACAAGCTGAAAGAAAAAAAAAGTCTTGGAAGTAGGTGAGCAGTGGCCTGGGAAGGGGCCAGACTCAGGCCATGGACAGTGAAAAAAGCTGGGCGTGCTGGGTACCTGAGTGCTGACTCAGAGCAATATTAAAGAATGGCAGCAGAGTGCCAAAGATCCCTCGAAATACTACATTTATAACTTTCTGGATTGAATTTTCATTCCACGTGTCCACTCTGGTAGTAGCCTTCCAACGCTCTTTTGAAATAAACATTGCAGCTGCATCTAGATTTATCAGAAGTGTTCACTGTGGGAATTGATATGAGAAGAAGATATTAGAGGCACCTGCTGCACATGTTAGCTCTCCCTGTACTTGGGTGCGATAAAGTGCATGAACTCTTGAAAGTTATTTTCATTAGACTAAAAATGGGAAAACAGAGCAGGAAAAACTTCTAAGGCCATTTCATGTAGAAATAACCAGACGTACCTCCGTGGTCCTAGAGAGCTGCTGTATTACAGTATAACAATGAAGGAGGGAGGGAAAATAGAGGAAAAGGGGGAACACACCAGGCTCTTTTGGAGGCAGGGATGGAATGATCTGCCTTCATAGAGTTCACATGCATGTAATGAGAGTGAACAAATACATGACATAGCGATGAATGCTACAAAGACATGTGAAAGTAAGGTTTAGGAAATGGGCTGGATTAGAGAGAAAGCCTTTCTGATAGCACAATTCAAAGACAGCCCCGAGGAGAGGAGCAAAGGGGAACTGTTACTAAAATTCTTTCCAGTGTATTTTGATAACATTTTGAAACATTATAAATGATTCCAGGTATTTTAGATAAGTAGCTTTCTAATTTGTGTAGTATTAAATTTAAGTTTTGGTTTTGTTTCATATTTCTGACTGGGTTTGAAAAAGTGAGAAAATTTAAGTTAATAACTAAATGTGGTCTTACTCTAAATTATATCAAATAGGAGAACAGTGGTATATTACTTATCAACCAATTACAGCCTTGTTCTACAAATTATTGCAAATGAAACCTTTCATTTGTATATTTTTAAACTACCATCCTTCTAAAAATTACTAAATTACCAAACTACCAAAAATAAGTATAACATTTTGTATAAAATTACAGAAATGCCAGTTGAAAAACACATGGAATAGGCCTGCTTTATTTTTAAATTTTCTTTTTGTGTTCTCTCCTTACCAGATTGAAACACAGTTAGCAGAGTATCACAAATTGGCTAGAAAATTAAAGCTTATCCCTAAAGGTGCTGAGAATTCCAAAGGTTATGACTTTGAAATTAAATTTAATCCTGAAGCTGGTGCCAACTGCCTTGTCAAATACAGAGCTCAAGTTTATGTAAGTATACTTGTCGGAAGCTCAGTTTGTCCTATCCATGACCCAGGACTAAACTAACACATGAAACACTGCGCCCCTTTCTCTGCCTTCTTGGTAATGGAAATCTGCCTCATACCTAACTCTTCAAGTTATAAAGCGTTTTCCTTTCTACCTACTTCATTTCAACTGTCCAATAAGAAATTTGGGCATCAGGACTCTCCAGACAAATCCAGCTTGACCTTTGTCAAGGCATGGTGACATACACCTGGAATCTCCGCACTTACAAAGCTGTGCGCAGGAGAATGGAAGCTGAGAATAACCTCGTCGAAGATGTATTAGATTTAAAATGTCATGACTTTATTTTTTCTCCCAAACTGACTTGTATCACAGTATATACATGACTCATGGGATAATTAAATGCCATGTCACCCACACCTTTATGTATTTTATAGGTACCTCTCAAAGAACTCTTGAATGAAACTGAAGAAGAAATTAATAAAGCTCTAAATAAAAAAATGGGTTTGGAGGACACTTTAGAACAGGTAAGTAATAAAATGTATTTGCTAAAAGCAAAGATAAGATTTTTAAAACCTAAGATAAAATGTAATTTATGGTTTCTGAGTGCTGAGAGATTGATTTTTTTTTTTTAATGAGAAAATGGAACTTAGATATAACCTTGACAGATATATTTAAAGTAACTCACTAAACATCTGAGGGTTCACTCTTTTTTTTAATGTGTATGAGTGTATTGTCTGCATTTGTGCAAGTGCACACATGTCATGCAGTGTTCACGGAGGTTAAAAGAGGGCGTTAGAACCCCTGGAAATGGAGCTATGGACAATTGTTAGCCACCGTGTGAATGCTGGGACTAGAACCCAGGTGCTCTACAATAGTACCCAGTACTCTTTTTAACTGCTGAGTCATCTTTCCAGCCCCCCCATCCTTTTTTTGATAGACTTGCTTTTTTTAAAAAAGTATTGCCTGCATGTAGGCAAGTGCACCTGTGTCATACAGTGGCCCCAGAGGACAGAACAGGCTGTTGGATCTCCTGGAACTGGAGTTATGGACAATTGTTAGCTGCCATGTGGGTGCTGGGTTTCAAACCTGGGTCTTCTACAAGAATATTGTCCTAGTTTGTTTCTTTATTGCTATAACAAAACACTCTGACCACTACCAACTTGGGGAGGAAAGGATTTATTTATCTTACATCTCCCAAGTCACAGTTCATCAGGGAGCCCAAGGTAGGAACTTGGGGCAAGAACCTGGAGGCAGGAGCTGGAGCACAGGCCATGGAGGAACACTGCTTACTGGCTTGCTCCCCTGGCCCCTGCTCAGCCTGCTTTCTTATGCAACACAGGCCCACCTTCCCGGTGGTGGCACCACCCACAGTGGGCTGGGCCCTCCCACATCACTCGCCAATCAAGAAGATGCCCCCATGGACATGGCCACAGGCCAGTCCAATGAAGGCAATTCCCAAACTGAGGCTCCCTCAACCCAGGTGTGTCAGTTTGACACTAAAGCTGTCCAGCACAAACAGCCAGTGTTCTTAATGGCTTAGCCATCTCTCTAGCCCCCTAAACTTGCTTCTTTAACTTGACATAAAAAATTTTTTTATATTCAAATGGATTTGCAGTGGGTTCCTTAAAAGTTGGTATACATCATTTGTGGTTAGACGTTAACCACCTGGGATCAGTGATGAAGTTTCTTTCTTCTAAATGTTTCATTCTGACCATAGAATTTTAAGAGAACTTAAATGCCTATAGAGGCCCATTTTTCACCTGGATGTGTCAACTCAGGCCTGTAGTCTCAGAATTCATGAGGCTGAGACAGGAGGTTTGCCACAGATTGTAAACAAGCCTGGCCTATAATGAGACCTTGTCTTAAAAAAAAGTTTCAAAAAGTTCTGCTTCTCCGATCCATGAAACATGGTGCCATCCTTAGCCCTCAGAGACTGCTGCTCTTGTATTCTGTAACCATTAACATCCATACTAATTCATTAAGAAAACAAACTACTCAGATTCACTCAAAATGTGTGGTTTACATCATTCCAAACAATGAATGGAAGTCCTGAGGTAATTCTACCCTTTAAGAACTGTTCAGGCTACAATTTCAAGGTATAAAATGAAATCCTACCTTTCTCAAAATAGAAACTTAATTGTTCTCATCTAGAAACAAAACATGACATTTCATAAACATCCTAACAACCCACAGAAAGATATTTTTAATGTTAACAAATTCAATGAAGTCTGACTTTCTAGGCTGCAGATGTGGGTGGCTCAGTAATAGAGAATTTCTCTAGCATGTGCCCTGAGTTCAATTCCCATTCACACAAAGGACCTACTTTAGAAAGACTTTTTCAACTTCTCAGTGAAATGGAGGCTGTGTGCTGCCTTGAACCTGCAATTCCAAGGCTTTGAAAACACAGGCCAGCCTGGATTACATAGTAGTATGACTGTGTCTCAAAAAAGCAAAGGCAAGAAATTTTAAAATGAAAAATATACTATGTTTAGAGATGGTACAGTTTGGTTTGAATTATAAAGAAATACAGTATAAACAAAAATATTATTTTAAAAAGTTGATGAACTAAGCTGAGTGCAGTGATGCATACCTGGAATCTCAGTTTGTGACAAAAAGGCAGGAGGATCAAGAGTTGAAAAATATCTTGGGCTACATAGCAAGTTCAAGGCTAGCCTGGGTTGCATAAGAACCTGTCTCAAGAAAAACAAATAACAAAAATAATGATGAGCAGAGCTGGAGATGGCTCAGCAGTTAAGAGCACTCACTACTCTTGCAGATGACCTAGGTTCAGGTCCCAGAACCCACATGGCGACTAACAACCATCTATACTCCAGTTCCAGGGGATCCAATGCCCTCTACTGTCTTCTATGGGTATTGCATGACACAGGTGCACTTAAATACATGCAAGCATAGCACTCATACACATAAAATAAAAATAAATTTGCCAGGTGTGGTGGCACACGCCTTTAATCCCAGCACTTGGGAGGTAGAGGCAGGCCTTTGTGAGTTCAAGGCCAGCCTGGTCTACATAGTGAGTTCCAGGACAGCTGGGGCTACAAGGAGACCCTGTCTCAAAAAGACCAAAAAAAAAACCAACAAAAAAATAAATTTAATAATAATGGTGAGCTAGCCAGGTATGGTAGCACACCTTTAGCCCCAGCACTATGGAGGAAGATGCAAGAGGATCTCTGAGTTCAAGATGTCTGACCTATATAGTGAGTCAGCCAGAGTACATAGTGTGAGACCCTATCTCATTTAAAAAAAAAAAACCTTTGTGAGTTGGACATGGTGATACATGGCAGTAGACCCAGCACTCTAGAAGCTGAGACAGGAGAATCTTGAGTAAATCCAGTTAAGTCTGGGTTACATAGCAAAGTCAAGCCCCGCCTACCGTATGTAGAAAGACCCTGTCTCAAAAAAAAAAAAAAAAAAAATGATAAAAATAGATTAAAACATGAACATAAAAATCTCAAAATTGACTCAAACTGAAAAGTAAAAATAAGTCACCAGAAATTTTCAAGAAAAGGATTAGCTCTGTAAAAAGACTGGCTTTACAATTAAGTATTTTCAAACACTAAATACCTGATGATTTTTATGACATGGAAATTGCCACAGAGCATAAAGAGATAAAATTCTTATAAGACTAGTACCACAACCTAACATAGAGATCACAAAAATAAAATTAAACCAATCACACTGACGTATAAAATGTAATGCTTAAATAGTTTTTTTAAAATAATTTCATACATGCATATAAGGTGTTTTGATCAAATCCATGCCCACTCCCTTCCCTCCAACTCCTCCCCTAAAATCTTTTAAGGATTAGATACAAGCTTCCAAATACTTTTGACATTTTTGGCCTTGTTTTTTTTAATTTTTACAAAAACTTTATTGAGAATTTCATACATGCATATAAGATATTTTGATCCAATCCATGCCCACTTCCTCCCCTTTGCTACTGCCCCCTCTGAAGAGGTAACTCTAAAATCTTTTAAGGATTAAATAAAAGCTCCTAAGTACTTTTGATATTTTTGCCTTTGGAATGAAGTATGTTGCTATGAGGTCCAAGGACATTTTGACTTTTAGCTGAGAAACTGGATACTTTACTTTGGGGTCTTTTTACACTAACTGCCTAGCCAATACCTACCTCCTATTCTTATCACACTGTTCTTTGGAGGTTACCAACTTGCGGATAGGGAATCGGGATGCAGCCCGCTCTGGCTTCTTCCATGCTGAACAGGACGCAGGGTGAGGCAATTGGGGTACCCCTTCAGTGGGTCTATCTAAAAGACTCCCAAATTGCATAACTCTTATCTGTAGTGGGAAAAGAAAGTCCTTGACTGGTGAATAGGTGATGTGAAGGAGAAGTAAAGGCAAAAGTAATTAGCATTACAAGTTCTAGACAGAAAACTAGAAAAAAGTCAGAAATGTTCATATGAGAGTCCACTGGAATTTCTTTATGGGAGCTTCCAAAAGCATCCCTCTATTGGGTTCTCCTCATTTTTCTTTTGTCTTCCAAGGCTGGACTTGAGAATGATGGATTTAAGATTTGCTTTCAGGCATTTTGATAGCTGTTGGAGTGGTTAGAATTAGTGTCAGTTCCCTCTCAAATGCTTCTAGATAGGGGGAGAAAACAAATTTGGCCATCATTTTAGAACAATAGTGGGTTGTTTTCCCTTAGCTACAGGTGGGCACTACAGTATTGCAGACCAAGATTTGAAGACATATCTGAGCAGCACTTTCTGATTAGGAACAAAATCAGCAATGAGAAATAATTGTGTAAATAACTTTTTATATGGATTTAAGCCTAATGTCTGAGAAGTGTAATCCCTTGAACTCTTAAATATACTGATCACTTTACTCTTTGGTTATACTTTCCTTTTGGGTGTTTAAGACCATACAGTTGGCCCAAATAAATCAATTTATTTTTACACTTAAGGTTGTTTGAGGATCTGTTCCTCGGGGGTCATTTTAACTTTGAGGGCCCCTGGCTCCTTTTACCAGTTGCATCTATGTGAAGATAAGTAAAAGGTCCTGCTCGATCATGGCTGGCTTCACTTGGAAGCATGGAGGAAATGTTTCCTCTGTGTTGACCCTCCTCTTTGTAGCCTGGACACTGATTCAAGTCCATCTTGTGGGGTCTCCATGGCCTCCCTGAACAAGAGGATAGGTGACTCACCACAGTTACAGGGCATTTTGAGAGATGTTCCATAGTTCCCTGGAACCTTCCCCTGGAACTTAGTCAACCTTGGAGGGTAAGGGGCAAAAACTGTCCTTTAAGTCCCTCTGACCAGATTAGTATAGGCCTAACAGTATGGCTGTTAAACATCCAATAAGGTTAGTTCCACCAGTCTGGTAGTAACATCTTTTACATTCTCATTGTCTTTTTTTAAATAATTGCCAGATATAATAACCTTAACAAATTTTCCATCTGTTGTGAGAATTCTTTTCCTGGGGCTACTTAGCAATGCTTATTTCCTTTCAAGGATCTAGTGTCAAACCAATGTTTGATTAAGGTTTTACT